CATGCCAGCCTTGTTCTTTACACTCAGAAAGCTGAGGAAACCGCATCCCAAACGCTCTTCTCCCTTTTGTCGAAAGGGAAGGAGGTTTGAAACTGATGTTCTTCACTTTTCCTTAGAAGATAAAAGGTTTAAAGTCCATACAGTTCACCTGATGTGAGAGTGTATTACTTTCACTAATCTTTTGGTGATATGAATACTCAGCCATTATAAAACGTTTCCTCATGTCCTTTCGTATAAAAGGGCTGATGTGAAAGCTTTAAATAGCTACCCTAATAACCTAAACCAGTGACAAAGAAGTAAAAATGTCCAGCCCTCAGATCCTTCCATGCATTCTTTAACTACCCACTCAAATTTCTTAAATACTGTGATTATAGAAACTTCTGAAGCCATTTTCAATAATTTATAGTTACCTGGCTACATACAGTATATTTACTTGACGCAAGCATAGGAACAACCACCAAGAATCAGATCTTCAAATCTCAGACCAGTATTAATCAATGAAGCATAAGAAAATGTAAATAGTTACACATACTAATAAATTAGAGTATGCTTTTGTAAATATATTTAGTGATCTAGAAACAGCTTGAATTGATTTAGATACAATCTAAATTGCTGGAAAAAAAGGAGTTATACAACCCATATTTTCTGATTTTTTTGGCTCAAAGGTAAACAAACAACAAACTTGCCCTTCTACTCAGAAGAGTTGTATAAGAGGGTAGTAAAAATATTGCTGGAGGCATGATGGCTCCCTATCCATCCTTAAGAGACCTCTCTGCTCCAGCCAGGGGCAGGAGAGAGGACTGCAATTCTGATTCCAGGAAACCTCACCATAAATTGAAAATTCTAGAAATTCTATTAAAAAAGCAGTTAGGAGTACTCAGATAAAGATTGGTAAGGAAATTATATTGAACAAAATACGTTACTTGAGAAAAATCCAGCTGACTTCACTCCCATATCCTTTGAATTGCTCTGGATTATGTTACAGCAGAAATCCGGGAACCTTTCAACAAAATACTGTGCCACAGGAAAATACTTTTTGGAAATGCTCTATTGCTAAGTGCTTTTCATCCCTCACCATGAATTAAAAACAAACATCCTTAGATAACTGTGAAAGGTGTTTTAAAATCATTAACAAGGTCAGCTGTGCTACTAGTACAACAGGGAAAAAAAAGAACGTAAATAACACCCATGGTTAACAACTGTGATTTCAGTCAGTGTGATTTTACAGAGCATCTTTAATCTCAGTATTTCCTTATTTCTGATCACCAGGCTATTTAGAAGGCATGCAGCTCTCCACATAAGGTGCCTCTGTCTACCAGGCTTAAGACAAGAGGAGCATCTTTCACTCAAGAGTTTACAAATTTCACAGAGAAGGTACACACCTACGAGACCCTGATGGGACTCTCGTGACAAAACAAACCCCATACGTTACAGGCAGAAATGCAATTACCATTGCTCAAATGCATCCTCACAGTTCCTGCCTTGAGCAGCTCAGCACAGATACTATTTTATTTATTACAGTAGAATTAGAGGACATAGGAAGAGACACATTTGTGAGCCCCTTGCCTTCTCCTGCACAGTCTGAGGCCTGGAATTTCCCTGCAGACTCCTCTGCGTGATGATCTGGGAGCCTACCACTGCACACTCACCATTAATAATCATTAACTTGCACAAAGGCTGATTATGAGTGAGAAAAGCTGGAGTGTTGTAGCTGGAGGTTTTTACCAGCATGGAGAGGAGGAGGAAGAGGCCTTGCCTACCACTTAGGCTGTGCGTGTTCTCTGTAAAGATAATGTAACAGAGACTTTGAATTCGAGTGCTAAAAGGCCATTATTGTAGGCTACAGGAGCCCCTTTTTATATTGCAGTATAACTTGAAGGGACCAGCAACAAATGACGGTAAATAATCTTTACACTAGGTGCCTTATACGCCCATACTAACAGCATCTGTGTTTGTAAGGTACCCTCTGCAATTTAAAGTTACATAGGAGTTAAAAGTGTAACTTCTTCCAATTATGAAAATCCTGTCCAAAGGGACATGAGACATTCTCTCTGTTGAAGAGCTGGCATTTTTTGACAGGATACTTAAATGAACTAAAGGCTGCAACATTTTTGGTTAATGTGCTTTTAAACAAGCATTTTTAGTAGCTTTAGAAGTAAGATTTAAATAATGAATCTTTATTTGAGAAAGGATTATGTGAAATATAAATAAAGGCTAATTCCTTTTATCAAATTCACTTCCAAGTACTTCATTTTTCAGCACAAACACGCAAGATGCTGAAGCACAAGTGTGTTCACAGCCTAAAAGCCACCCCCTTCTCTTCAACTGAGCTGACTGTAAATTCAATCACTTAACCACAAACAGCATGCAAGCCAACTGAGCAGCTCTCCTACAGACGACTAATGACAGCACAGCTATGCTCCAGTCTGTGTTTGGCAACAGAGCGCACAGGAATGAAATCTGATGCCCAACATTACAACTTTAAGACACGGTCAAATGGCTATTATTTTCACTGCCAGAACTAAACTTTATTTCCATGTGTATTACATACCGGTATTTGGTGCCAAGTACATTAAAATTACTTTAACAGAGGATTTAAGTGAGGAATATTTATTCTTCACTAAACAGATTAAGAAGGAATGTAAAAACCTATAAGAAAAAACTGTTTCAGCTTCTTTTTGATTTTGGCAAACCAAACAGTTAAGCACTCTTCTGTTCTCTCCTCAGATCTTTCAAGGTACCAAAAAAGCATCTTTTCATAATCATGCAGCTCAAGAAAAAAAATAGCCTTATAAAATCCATTTCTTATGCTAAATATGATTACAAATAAGAGTATTAACACGAAACTCCCAATTCCTATTTTTAAATACAAATACTGTATTGTATTATATTATGAAATAGGGATAATTAAAACATATCAACAACTACAAATCTAGTAATTTAAAGCAAACTTAAACATGCTGTTTGCTTTCATGTGGAAGAATTAGGATATTGTATGGTTCAAGCACTGCAGTAATTTCTGCCAACTCCTTGATGCCCAGAATGTCAAACTGCCAAACACAGAGACATATTCAGGTCTGAATAGCACCAGGTGTTTTTCTTTTTTTTTTTTAAGTTATTAACATTTAATAAAATGAGTGACATGACAACTTTCTGAAAGCGACATGCAATAGTAGACAATTTGCTTCAAATCTCCAACTAATAAGCTAAAAGTTTTAGACAATACAGAACAATTACTAATATATTTCATGGTACACAAGAAAACAGTGCTTCCACAGTATATCCTCAGTTCTCAAGTACAAAAATATCAGTTATGGGTAGTCAATAGTTATCAAAATTTTTATTGGTACAGAATGAAAGCAGCATTTACTTTATTGTTTTTTAAACCATACATCATAAAATTCCCTAGTACACACGTAGAGGAGTGAAATAGGCTCTGTACTGTTTACCTGCTACTGATCCTAGGTCCAGATTTAAAATCTTTTCTGGCCAAACAATATCATTAATAGCAAAGGGAAGGCAGTTCCTCAGTGTGAAAGGTCAGCATTTAGAGTCTTACTAAAGCACTATTTTTGAAACAATACTTCACTTAAATGTATAATTACATACACTACAAGTGGAAAACAAGTTTTTATCAACAAGAACTATTGAGACTGGGCATAAATGTCTTAACCACAAACCCTGGAAATACTATGGGTGCTTTGATGTGGCCCTTTTTGGCGAGAGAATAAGAACAATGAAGTATGGCTTTTCAATCTTCCTTTAAAAGCATGTTTTATAAAATTTCGTAGGCTTAAATTATTTTAGAGGACCCCTAACATTTTTCTGTAACATCATTTACTAATTAGAAGCATTAATTACATCAGTATATAAAGCCATTGGCTGATAGTTGGTCACCAGCATAACACAGGAACCATTTGCTTTTGTTTTTTAAGTAAGGGAGGTACTTTTCTAGTGAGAGCCATCCTACAGTACTACCAAACATTTCAGAGGTTACTACATAGCTTCTCAAATAAAATCCTCAACCATTCTGTTTTCCAGCAGATATTAAAATCAAGCATATGCAGAGAGCAAATACAACCAAGTGCAGACAGTTCAAAAGTATCTCTCAAACATATTGTTTTACAGTTACCCTCTGGAAAATAAAAGCGCCTCCTCGCCCCAATGAGATGGGGCAAGAAGGGGAAACAGGTCTGCCATTCATGTAGGAGTTTGGCTAGCATAAAGTTTTATTAAAGTTGTTAACAAAAATAGTTAAACATTTTTACAATTTAACATCCAGTCTTGACAAAAGGCAAATCAATGAAAAAAATACAAAAAAGTAAAAAAGTGCACTACCTAGTCCAGTATTTTGCTTTAAAGTCGTCACTTACAGTATATGAAAAATAAACCCAGAAGTGTAATTACTTTAAAATACACCGCTTCCATATTTCAGTATTTTACACATATATTCTATAGTGGAAGAGGAGATCTCTTAAAAACTTTACTCTTAAAATATTGAGGTGCATATGCCAAGTGGGATAGACTTGGCAAGTTAAGTTGCAGTAAAGAATCCTTTCAAATTTGGCATTTCATTTACATACCTTACAGTGCCAGCAAGGTCTGTAGTACCTAAACCTTCTAGTAAGAACAGTAATTTTCTTTAATGCACATTTACTAATACAGACAACTACAAGAAACGGTGAGGTCAGCAATTCTATGGGATCTTAAGGAGATACGAGTCCTGATTTAGTCGTCAAATGGTACAATGTCACAACAAACTTTAAGGCCATGTTTTATTTGCTGATTAATGGACAAAAGGCAATGGATTCCCCCCCCCAAATATTTTCTTGAAAGTCTGTGCTCATAAAAATCATGAAAAGTTGGAAAGACTTAATTATTGAAACTTTAAATATATTTTACACAATCTTGTTTGTACAAAAATACAAGTTAAATATAAACATAAAGCAATCATGATAATTTTATGTAAATCCATTTTGTGATATTCTGTTGGACAAAAGGCAATGGATTCCCCCCCCCAAATATTTTCTTGAAAGTCTGTGCTCATAAAAATCATGAAAAGTTGGAAAGACTTAATTATTGAAACTTTAAATATATTTTACACAATCTTGTTTGTACAAAAATACAAGTTAAATATAAACATAAAGCAATCATGATAATTTTATGTAAATCCATTTTGTGATATTCTGTTATATATAAAAAAGTTTCTCAGCTCTGTCTCATTTGTGAAAAGATCAATACCAGATTGAATCACTACTGGCAAAGGGCCCTAAAAATCACACTTTAGCATTAAATATGTTTTACAATGTAAGTACCATTTCCTGATTTCATCTTTTCTAAAGACTGGCAAAAGATAGGGCAGTATGTCCATAAACCAACAAATAATTTGGCTACAATGTCATAGAACACAAACACACAAATCTGTACAATAAACCCAGTAGCTATGCAGTACGTACTTGTTACACGCACACATACACAGACATGGAATGAAACTTAGTGAGACGCCACTTCTAGTTCACTGTTCTTCAGCCTGGCATTTTGTCTTACTTCATCAAATGAATATGACTTCGTTACCTTTCCATTCTTAAATACTGTATGAAGGAGATCCTGCAAGAAACACCACTGTTTTAGCAAGAGTGATTTGGCAAAGGAACAAACAACATAGGTTACACAAATTCAAAAGTGAGACCCAAATCAAGCCTGGTAAGAGTAGAGCTTTAGACTGTCAAGATACTAAATCTTTACAGCTTCTTCTGGCACCTTTCACTAATGGTTAGACAGAAGAAAGGATTTAGGCCATCCTGTGCACAGACAGAAGCTTTGCGCCAAGCAGTCCCTAAAGTGAGTTGTCCACATCTGGGCAAAGCCAAAAACACAAATGCCAAATATACCCTGCTAGAGCAGCTAGTAAGAAAGGAGATGCTCAACCAATTAAATACAATTCAATTACAGAGGTTTAAATGAAGTCTTTATTTCCTCTAGAGCAACTATGAAAAGAAAAAAAAACCACCAAACTTTCTTTGCAGTCCCCTTTGCACATATATTTTGTAAAACAGTGTTTCAAAAAGTGCTTGCAAACAGCACACTGAAAGAGCAATAAGCACAGCTTTGTACAGAAAAGTTAGCACAAAAGCAAATGTTGAGCAGTCGCTATGCTTGATGACTTATTGCAAGGACCTGTGGCTTTAGGGAAACAGGCCCACAAAAGAGTACATTTCCATGTCATTTCCCAGGAAGCCCCAGAACCTGTACCACCCAAATGACCCTCTCTAATATCCCAGGACAGAAAATTTCTTAATGAATTATTTCACCTGTCAAAAATGAAGGAACTATATATTGCCTAATTTCAGAGCGAAAGTCTTGTGATTTGCAGGAACTATATATTGCCTAATTTCAGAGCGCAAGTCTTGTGATTTGAAGAGATTTCTCACCATTAGGTCCCTCCCTCTCTTCATATACATATATAGATACATGTATATGAGAATGTTCATCACAAACATATACACATGCATATGTGTATATATAACTTTGAAAGTCTTTTTTCTTAGATCTTTGCATCCACAGCACATTATCTACAGTGTATATAACTCAGTTTGTTTTCCGTCTTGAAATTTCTCAGAGAGATCTGTTTTATGCTTACTGTTGCATAAAACAGTATGGCTAGTAGCACCCCTTTGCCGAGTAGCACAGAAATGTGCTTCTTTATACCAGAAAACTTAAGAAACTTCCAGCTTCTAAAGGCTGAAGAGCAATTTGATAACTTATTTTCAATCCTCTTAATTCAGGAAGACACTCAACATGCAGTTAAACATTTCATTGCTTGCACACTGAAAATGTAAGAGATATCAAACTGAAAGTCTGACATTGGCATAAAGTTTGTGCTTATTTTATTGAAATAGCATTTCATTTTGCAATTGTAAAGAATTAACAGGGAAACTGAATTCCTGGTTTAAATTTACATCTTTGAAAACTGGGCAACTACTCCACATACAGAGAATTAACACCTGAAGGAACTACTTAAAAATCTCAGTGGGGAAGTAGAAACAAGTTTTAGTTATGTCTGTCCCTCTCCCACCTCCAACTCAGGTCACTACTCAAATTGTGCAATATAGCCCATACAAAACTGCTTGGCTAGCATATATTCTGCAACATTGAGACATTAGTTTTGGGAAAAAGCAGCAATGTTCTCTTGTTTCTGAAGACAAACAAAAGAGAAAGATCTCTAATTGTAAAGCCTGAACATTCTACTGGCATTCTAACATTCTTACTGAATTTGGGGACACTTCTGAGGTAGTAAGATGGGAGTTGAACAAAAAGACAATAAAAAATAAATTCTGAAATGAAGTTGTAAGACTGCTTTTTCTCAGTATATTTTTGCATGAAGAATGAAGTAATACATTTTGAAAATTCATACCTGTCCATACTCTTCAAGATCTCCCTTGCCTTCTTCAAGCGTCACGTAATCTCCAGCAGGTGTCCTATGCAACGACAGTCTGCCTTTCTTTGACCTCTTGTTCGGATCAGCAACCGGATCCTTGAAGACATTTACCTAAAATGAAAAGAGTATTTTTTTAAAAGGAAAGGGCTTTGTGGGGCTTGTGTACCTAATGCAGATGGCAGTAATGTAACAGGAAATGTCAGACAGGTTTTGAAGTGGGGAGGCGTCTGTTGAAAACATAATGGTAGATGTTGTACAAAGACATACCCCGAGACCGTTGGTCACCACGTAACTACATTTGAAGGAACAGTTTAAGAGATCTCTGGTTAGTTTCTGCAACAAAGCTCCACCAGATCCAAAGGCAATATTCTCAATACTCCATTTATTCTTCTTCATTCCCTCCACAATCTAATAAGAAAAAGAAAATGATGATGGAGCATACTTTCAGGCCATGCCATTTTTCCATAAAAATATATACTACTTAAACAAGATGCTTTTACAGACAATTAAACCAACTAACATTCAGTTTCCAGGAGATGTGCGTAACAATTCTGTCAATACTTGGCACGCTGTTTGCATTTTTATTTGTGATTCCAGCATGGCATAATTATAGAAAGTTTTTGCTGTAAAAGCATTATCATGCCAGCATATACATTTTCCAAACTAGGGTAGCACGGTAATGCAATGCCCAGACAATCAGAGCTCTAAAGAAAATAAAAGACTTCACGGGAGTATTTCAGAGCCCTCCGATTTCTCAGAATTATGGAAAGACCTCAAAGGATAGCATGTATCCTGAAACAAAGCAGTCACCTTGCTCATCAACTCCAGAAAGTTATTACCCACTTTGACCAATGACTTCCACAGAGCAGTTCTGAAAATCACATTGACTAGAATTAGATTAGCAGTTTCGAAGATGGGAAATGGAAATACATAAAGCTGCTCAAAAAGTTTGCTTTGCCACCTTCTCAGGCAGATACAGATCAACGTGAACTGCACTGCTATCAACAGTCAAGTTAAAACTTATTGCATCATTTCCCCCCACCCTCATTCTATCCAGACAAACATGACATCCTCTAGCCTGGAGTAATGGGTGCTAGTTTAGTCATGCTCATACACGGCCAAGATTTGTTTCCTTGACTTGTCACCCTTATGACAGCCTGAAATGATGGTTATAGCTCCAATAAGAGAGTGTTTGAACTCCTATCTCCTAACCATTTTACTAACAAAAGCGGGTGAGAAAACTTCAGTGGGTGAAATAGCAAATCCCATCCATCCAGAAAAAAAGGAAGATGAGAAGCAAAATGGAAGGACATAATCTATGGGGAACAGTGCAGAATTTCAAAAATCAACATCATCACAAGTCTGGTAATCTTTTGTGCACTCTCAGCCTCCTGCATCAAAAGGAAATGCCAGAGTAACATTGAACAGGACTGTTTCAGGAGCTACTGATGTCAAGCCACTTTTTTAAGGGACAACTAAAGCAAAAATAAAGTTTTGTAGGGGGAAAAAAAAAAAAGACAATTACAATTTCACACAGTGGCAAATGGCTAACTAATGTAAACAAAAGAGTATACTAGTATTTTGTTTATCCATTTAGTCACAGGCAGACTGTCTCTTCAGATACTCTCAAAGTCTGAATGCCTGACAGAGGCCAGCCAGAGGCCAGCCAACAGGAGAGGCAGACTGCAGAGCCATAACCTTCTGAGGGTATGCTCTGAACACCCTCCCGCTACATTTTTAGCGGAGATTTCCCCGGTAGAGATCTCATCAGTGAGTTTCCATCATTCTAATGGTACCAGCTTATTCAGCCTCATCCAAGAAGCCAAGCAAAACAAATCTCAGGCCCTACCACCATGACCTTCACTTAAGGGAACCCTTTGGAAGGTTTTTATCCTGAAAAAATACCCCCTCAATATGTGACAATCCTGTGAATTTTAGCATTAGCCATCATATCCTTTCAGACAGAGACCGTACACAAAAGGAATCCGTATTTTCAGGTGATTAGGTTCTCCTGGAAGCAGTTAAAAGGGGTACCCAGGGAGGATAAAGGATTGAAATGAGTGAAATTCTCCCTTAAGCATCTCAGAAGTAACTGAAGATGACAAAGGAAGGGTAAGAAAAGGGATTTTGTATACCCTCTCCTTAAGCATAAGGCTCAATAGTACCTTAAGAAACCAGACTTGACTGGGCCTGGATATGGACTCTGCTCATCTACACTGTCTTTTCAAAAGGCAAATGTAGGTAAACTCCACCTGGACTCTGATCAAGTTCTGTCCAGATGCTGACCAAGCCTGAAGCCATGTGAACTGCTGGCCAAGCCTGACCCAATCTATTCTGCTCCTTTCCTTATCCAGTTTTATAGATCAGGTCTGACATTGAACTCGCTTGAACATACCTGCAAGATGTAGCACAAACTACCTGGTACAAACAACATCCTACCAAGGTACGTGATGCTTAGACTTCATGTTCACCGATACTTGTAGGTTAACAGATGCTAGCACAAGTATAGCGTAGCTGGGCCATGGCCACTTAACCTTCTTGCCTGGGTGAGAAGAAACGTGAGGCCCCACTGAGCTAGTGTTCCTGCTCTCATTTACAGACGGTTTGTTCATCTTGTGCCACAGGCACAACTCCTCACTTACGTGAAGAACTGGCTTCTACTTTTCCACTCTCTCCCAAGGGATTTCCTTACTCAGACTGATCTTTGGCGGAAAGGGAAAGGGAATCGAGACTAAGTTGAAAGACAGCTCTGACTGTACCAGTGACCCGCAGCAGAGGCCCAGATAACAGCTTCCTTAGGTATGGGGAAGAGATGGCAAACAGCAGCAGTAACAGGGAAGACGGAAAGGGGGAGATCTGAAACAAATGAAGCCTCCCACAAAGGAAAACAATACAGAAGAATTTCTTGTCTCACACTTTCAAACCTATACAGGGAGAACAGTTCAGGTGTCAAGGTTTTTACCAGCTTCCTCTGACCATTATGAGCATGATTAATATATCAGCTGTGACTCCAGATTAGAGGATTTTCTTTGTATAAAAATTTAAAGACATCTGGAAATTGAATGTTCAAAGAAAATCCTTTGAAAGTGTAGTATATTGTGGAGTTAGCAGATTGGAATGATTTTAAAAAGTGAAAATGCTAGAAGAAAGTCAGAAAAGGTTCCTTACCTGTTCTACCAGCATCCCCTATTAAAACAAAGAATTTTAAAATCCAGTTTATACTCTGAGTTGTTTTCTATATTGTTGTTTCAGCTAGTTTGGATAGTTAAATGAGACTGGTCAGTCATTACTCGTTCTAGATTTTCCTATTATACCCATTACCTTTCATCTGGTCTATAACAATAAATCATGCCTAGAATCTAAGACTGATATGGAGTAATTAGAATAATCACTTGCATAGGCTGTAAAGTGGGGGGGGGGGAAGATGCCACAACAATACAATCTTATTTGTTCATGTAAATTCCTTTTTGAAAAGGATGAATTATACTTCAGGGTTGGGTTGATTTTGGGGTGGTTTGGTCCCCCCCCCCAAATGACAAGCTATTACAAGTCTTCCAAAAGTCAGCATGGTAACCATGGTTTTGCTGACATAATAGGATAAAGAGATCCATGAAATTTAAAAATGACTAAAATTAGGCTGCAAGATCATGGTCTTTTTGCTCCAACATAACTTGCTGATGTCAAATGAGAAGTGTTTCCTTCCTGCCTGCTTCTCCCAGCTCAAAACAACAGTTCATTTTCTCTCCTGTATTGTGCTGGTGAGCACTGGCCCCTTTTTTGGGCCAATTTAATTCACTAAACCACAAAACTGATCACTTGGCTGAGTTAGTTTACTGCTACACGTGTGGGCTAAATTAGTTTAATGACCAGCGGTTCAATGACCAAAGCTGACATGAGGTGCGCAGCAAGATTACAGAGTCAGCAAGAGATGAGAAGGCGGACACTAGGCAGCAGCGAGTTATGTCTGCTCTGTACGTCTTGTGGAACTGGATCTTCAACTCTCTTCTACTATGTATCGCAGGTAGATTTTTCCTTATAATCAGTTACAGTTTGATGAGGAAAATATGTAAACAGGCAGATCATCTGAACAAAGCTCCTTCTGTTTCTTATCCTCTCCCATTAGCTGCTGGAATTATTTTCCTGCTCTACTTAGAACTTAGAGAGCAGTGCATTTTTTCCTCTAATGTAAAGATTTTAAATACTAGTTTTAATATTTTGATTACAATCGATGCTGTATGAGCATCCTTTAATTTTGTCCAGTATAGCTTACAGAAAGCAACCTTTGAGTTCCTTACAAGGAAGAATTAATAGTCCAGTTTCTTTCCTGTCATGACTCATGAAAATCTCAACCACAACATACTTTGCCCAACACAGGCATCAGTCCTGTTAAACAGTTGCTGAGAACAAGGAAAAGGAGGAAGGAAAAGGAGGAAGGAAAAAAAAAAAATCAGGAAAAGAGAAAAAAAAAGAAAGAAAAAACAAACAAACAAAAAGAAACAAAGAGAGTCTCTTCCCCTAGTATTTAATGATAAGGCTTTCTTTCCAGCTATTAACCTCTCATGCTTGTGTAAGCACATTAGTACAGTTGTATATTCTCAAAAAGCCACATGGGACAAAAAAAAAGTAAAATAGAATTTGCTTTAAAGGCTATTAGAGGACAAACAAAACTGTGGTGCGTAACTGCACTACAGTTGGTGTATCAGGTAACAATATTAACTGCTCTCTAAGGATCTGAGTGACAAATTTGAGTTCTGTCATTGGGGTTCACATTATGTGCCCATGTTAGATATGCAGACAGTTTCAGACTAACTAAAAAACAAGCCTGATGTCTCTCTCAATCCTAATTTTGAGGAGCAGCAAAAGTCAACTTTGTTAAGAAGAATCTAAAGATGTGTCAATCTAGAAAGCTAAGACAAGCATCAATAAAATCAAGTAAAATTCATCTTAAATTTATCCAACTTATTTCTGTTTTTGAACTCTAATGCAGCTGAAAATGAATGATCCTGGACAAACCTGATAAAGTCAAGTCCTCCTCCTTTTACGTGCCCCTCATCATCTGTGATTACTGCAGTCTGTACCTTTGTAACCACATTATATTACCTAGTATCTCCATCTAGTCAATATTGGTGACTTTGTGACTAGTTTCAAGCATGCAGCATCTACTAAATAACCATTTTTTGTCTCGATGAAACTGTATTTGACTCAGACTACTGTCTAATCTGTTATACATATTTTCTGGGCTTTCAACAATCTTTATTCCACTAGTTGCCAAATCAATGAACTTTCCTCTCTCACCCTTGTTTTTAAAAAGTCTCCTTCAAAACTACACCTTTAATATTTGAGTGGAAGGACACTTCAGATGGTACATAACTAATGAGCCAAACCAGTCAATTACTACTATTGCTATAGCACAGCAATCATGCAGTGTGCCTTAGATATCAATGAAAGGACCAAACGCTGCCAGGTTTTGATCTGAATTAGACTTGACAAGCAGGATGAAAGCAAACAAAAGGAGAAACAGTGGGAGGAGAAGGGTTACAACAGGGGGATTAGGAAATGCCTTTTAGGTTTTTTTATGCTTAATAATTCCCGGTGGAGTTTTAATGAATTTGGTTTACACATTAGGATATCACTGCCAGTGTCTGCAACGAAGGGCAGGGTGCGGTCAGCAGTCTCTGCTGCAACATCTGACTCGTCATAACAGAGTCCAGACTAAATATCAACATTGCCAGTGTCACCCTGACACATGAACAGGATCTCCTACCTCTTGCAATGTGTTGATATCCACACCATCCCCTTGAATAACTCTGAGATACGGTGGCAGCAACTTGTAGCCCTTTGAGTTCTCTGTAATGGGAAACTTCTTCCCTAAGATCTCCAAGACCTATTGAAAAGAGAAGGGAGACAGTTCAAAATAAAAACAAAAACCTGACATTCCAACAAAGAAACACAATTTCCACATTTGAGTCATGCTCGCTCTCTCTCAAAAAAAAAAAAGAAAAATCCATAAATATACCCACATATCCTGCTCTAAATCTATCCACATAGCCACACCAACAAAAAACATGCCAGCCATCGTGGTGGAAGCCATAAGATTAGAGCAGTCACAGACCATATGGCCTTTATGAACTTGCACCCGAGAGTTGATCAGAACCATGCTTCCCTCCTTTCTCTCTTTGGCTGCTGCGAGTTTTTGATATTAAATGTGTCAGCTGAAGATTCTGCTCTTCTTTTGAGCTCCCTTAAGACGGTGGATGAGGCTTTCAGCTTTCTGCGATTTTGTTAGCCACCAATAATCAAAATGAAACACTTCGGAGCTTTTCTTATCAGCTCTGATAAAGATTATTCAAACTTCCTATTTGTGATATGTCACTTGTCCCAAAGGAAAAAAAAAGTGTTAAAGCTGTATGGATCTGATTTGATACAGTACCAACATAACTAAAATCTCCCCTACTTTCTTATTAAAACAGTACTGACAGCTACTCAAATTCAGAGGTATCAACAGCTTTTATTATAGAACTGCAACAATCATTACGCTCTCTAAAGAGCTACGAGGCAAGAAGCATTTTTCAACTTGGAGGTCATGTGCCACTGACTTAAATGCACATCTTACAAAAGGGAGAAGAGTGCTGAACTTGTATTCGTAGCATAAAATGGTGAATTACATTAATACAGGATGCCAAGATACCTAAACTTGGTGGTAAGAAGTCTTATTGGCCTGGCATTTATTAATACTCAAGTTGCTTCCCATTTTATTTGTTATTAAGTGATGAAAGTTTCTCTTTATAGAATCATTATACCAGCAAAACTGGTAACTGTTGTAAAAGCTTCAAGAATGGTATGCAAGAACAGGTTTGACAAAAAAGATTAAACTATTCAGACTGCAGAAGAGTTTCCATATGTATATTGAGATGAGGTAAATGTTTACATTTTTCATAAGTCCAAGTTATCCAGCGTCAACTGTATACTATGCATACCAAGTTAGAGCATTATGTTTCCTACATTTGTTTGCCGGTAATTAACAAAACAAACAATTGCCCTTCCCAATCTTGTATACAAATGACTTCAAGAAAGAATTACCTTTAAAACAGTGTCAAGGGGATTCCCAGAATCTGGTCTAATAATAAGTGGTGCCTCTGGACTTCGGGCTTCAATTATATGCCTTAAGTCATCACCCCATATTTTTTCACAAGCATTGTAAATGTCGTAGCTGTCACTAACCACAGATACAGGCACTGAAGAAAACTGTGTCACTATGTGTTCAAAAGCATCTTTTTCATGATCTTTTCCCCAAGCTGTTATGGTACTGTAAAGTCAATTGAAAAATCCATATTAGAGCAGCATTTATATGTTAAATCACACATTCTGTATTTCCTACCAGCAATAGTTCAAGATAACAATAGGCAATATGATTACAAGACAGCATAAACTATGTGCTTATCAGCTCTGTGTTGCATGGATAGTAAATATACTATACGCTAAATAAACAGCACCCTGGATTTATCTTTGGTGACTCAGACAAACAGTTGACACATGAAACTTCTTTCACATGTAAATGTGATTTTTTTTTTTTTTTTTTTAAACATTTTAGAGATACTTTCTCTTTTAAATCTGAAATTCAGACAGTTAGAGAACTACAGATGCAAGAACAGAACATCTGCTCTGGCAACTTCAGACTACAAAATGGGAAGTAGAGAACTAGCAGCATATTTTAGAAAAATCTTAGAAGAAAACACAATTTATTTTCTTTTTTAATAGTGATTCAAAACCATTATGCTCACTCATACAAACATTCTTCTAGAGGAACCTCAGGGCATTACCCTTGGTACAAGGGTACAGGCAAGCACATAAAACAGAGTTGCTAAGAGAGGTAATAAGTTATTGAATGCTAGTTGATCTGCAGTAGCTGTTTTTTATGTGGCTGTCACAGACCAGCTGACATAACTGACTTTACTAACTTGTGTGTGAACACCTAAAAATGCTCTCATGCAAAGCATAGGTGTGCAGTAAGAGCTAGTGGGCATTGAATTTTTACCATAAAATGCTAGCATTAACTACTGTCTGGACAAGCCCCAGATCACAGTAGTGAGGAGACAAAACAAAATTTGTTTCAAAGAGGTTAGGGCAGTCCGAGGAGCAACCCTGGTGGTGTGCCAGAGGCAAGTGCCACACTCACACCACCACCTCACATTGGAGGTTGTGGAACAGTAGAACAATTCCGGAAAAATTTGGGTCTCTGACACGAGACCCTTTTTGTGTATTTTGGAAAGGGTGACTGCAGTCTGCATTTGGCAATGCAAACTTTAACTAGGGCAGTTTAAGCTGTCTGCTCTCACACCACCACTTCAATATGCTGTGCGAAAGGCACTTGTTCTCTGACTCCATGTGTTTGCTTTCATTACAAAGAATTTTATAGTTGCTTGGGCCATTATTTTTGGATTTAACTGTAGTGTTAAGCTAAGCTAAGAGAAGACGTTTCAGACAAAATTTGTCACTTCTACTGATCAAGCAGGAGTTCCAGAACAGCACTACAGCAATGGTCCAGAAAGTTATATGAAGCAGTGTTCCTTTAAAGATGATCATTACCCTATGAGGGCTATTCATGTAAGCCTTTCCATTACCTGTCTTGCAATCCCACGTGAAAATATTCGCTATTTAAAAGCACTAGATTTTGTACGAAATTTTTGTAAGAAAAAAAACAACTGTCCCTTCCTTTATATTCTGCTCATTTCAGTATGCAGACATGCAAGTGAAATCCAAGTATGTGCATTCACTCCTGACCTTGTACAGGATTTGGATACAAAAATGAGAGCTCTTCATCTCAAATGCCTGTTTGAGATCAGTTCCTTACTCTCAAAAGCTCATTCACAATTCTTAGCTAGAGATCAAGGATCTACCATTGGCTGAATTAGTTATGCTGATGGGAAGCTTTAGAGCAACGGCCTCTTCTGAAGGGAGAACATGATCTGGGAGAGTCCAGAATTGCAACTTACATGGTTTTTCATTTTATGATTTTATGTTTGAAACAAAATTTAAAGTTCATAATGTGAATCCTCAATATCTACTTTAACCTGTAAACCTTCAAGTCCATTCTAAAAAGAATCATCCAAATTTACTTAGACACTGATAAGAAGGTTATAGTTACAAACATTTAAAAAACATTTATAGTTAAGAACAATCATGCCACTGTTGTGCCCCTAGAACATACAGAAGCATCAGTATTGAACTTCAGCCTCAACAGCTGGATCAGTCATGGCTAATACTGTATGATATAAGTGAAACGGCTTAATATTTCTGGATACAAAGATGGATAAGAAAAAATTACATTTTGTTAAGCTATTTTAAAAAGGCTTTAATAGCCCAATATCTTACCTGTGTTCAGCAGCTGGAATAGAATATCCTGGAACCGGATCTTTTGTACCGTAGTACTTTTTAATTAATGCAATTCCTGCTACAGTGTCTGTTCCTTTGAAGTTCACCAAATGAGCTGAAGCTCCTATTCCCGCAGTCTGAAAAAGATGCAACTTTCAGTTGCCACGTCAAATATAGAAGCCTAAATCCAGTCACCGCCTAGCACTAGTTTGTAACAGCAAAACTGATTCAGTTCCCATTTCACCAATACCCTCTTCATGCATTTACACAGGAAAGACAGCTTCCATATAGAAAAAAATTCTCCCAGTCTAGTGCTCACAGTTTAGACACATACCCACCCCCCACCCCAGATCTCCCCCCCTCCACAATAAGTCCAAACACAGTGCTCTATGCATTCACAATTTCACTGCTGAACAGGGACACAACTGTTAACAGATACATGCTACAATCTTTTATAGTCAAGAACAATTACACAAGTAGTATTACCTCTTGTGAAGAAACTCCTCTGTAGCCGAAGTCATGCAGTTTATACTCCAGTCCTTCTAAGCTGCCAGAAGTCTCTAGCAAATATTTGGCCAAAATCTTTTTCTGCTCTCTAGAGTTTGTAGCCACTGTGATTGGATACCATGACTGCACAAGAATAGTCTAAAACAAAACCCATCACATTATTAGGTGTATGCTTCCTTAGGACTTAAAAATTCCCACTTAGCATTTAATCAGGCACAAAAAGGTCTATTTATTTTCATCGCCCATTCAGAAAGTACTGATGCCTCCAACAGTTTGCTTTAGGGCTAAAGTAATTAGCCTTTTAATACCTTTATAAGGTAGGCCAGGTATTGACCATCTCAGGAGTTATCACTCCCAAGCTACAGACACAATTCCCCTCCTCCTCCTTTCCTTGTGGATAAAAGTACTGTTGTGAATTTCCTGCAAAATTATTACAATCCCTTGCCAGGTAGGGGGAAAAGGTCTGTGTAAGAGCACTAAAAAAAGAATCCAGGCTTACTTAAAGCAGAAAATGAAAGCTGCCAGAGATTCCCCTTAAACCAATAAGGATTCAGCCTTTAAGTGCATTAATATTTACTTAGAAAAAACAGGTTAACTTTCCAAAACTGACCTCAATCCAATTTGTGAGCCAGTAGCACTCTGGATCTGTGTTTTCTACCGTAAAAAGAACATTTCCTCTGGGAATTACAGAGCCCTCAGGAACAGCCTTTATTTCTATAGGAAGATGGCCATCGTATTTCTGTGTAAGAAACAGTAATATTGTTAGACAACAGGAAAGGTTAGGACCTACCTCTCTTTTATTTGACTGCAATGGATAAAAGTCAGGCTAGGAGTTTATTGATAAAGCTTTCTTCTTCTTCATTTCTTTCAACCCTAAGAATAATTTGGTTTGTTTGCACACCTACCAGCCCAAATAAATAAAAAAAATTCCACATTTACCAAAAAAGGAGGAAAATCCTGTAACATAAAAAATAGTCTCTTTATCAAACTAAATGATGGTTATCAGTTGTATTCCTTGTGCAAATTGAGTCAGAAAGGCTTAAATATTCTATAAAAATACATAAATTCTACCCACAGAACAAGAAATATTTGCTGCTTAGTTTTCTTCTGCTTTCACAGAATAATTTGGTTTGTTTGCACACCTACCAGCCCAAATAAATAAAAAAAATTCCACATTTACCAAAAAAGGAGGAAAATCCTGTAACATAAAAAATAGTCTCTTTATCAAACTAAATGATGGTTATCAGTTGTATTCCTTGTGCAAATTGAGTCAGAAAGGCTTAAATATTCTATAAAAATACATAAATTCTACCCACAGAACAAGAAATATTTGCTGCTTAGTTTTCTTCAGTGCTTTCACATGAAGTAAGCTAAAAAAAGTTTAGCTATTCGCCTATTAGCCTTCCAAAAAATCTAGTTTTGCTTAGTATAGATGCATGCTTTGTTAATTTATTAGAGCAGGATTCATTTAATATCTATTTTAAAGAATATTTTGTCATCTCAATTATTCACTAAACATGAGATCTAATCTTGAAGTGTCATTCTTTTGTCAAATTCAGTCTTTCGTCCCTGAAGGACTAAACATTGTGTGAAATACGTCTTTTGCAAAAGACTAAGTTGCAAACAGCAACTCTAAAAGAGTAATTAGAACTTTCTGAAAGAGCCCTGCAAGCTAAACTGATAACACTTAAAATGTTTTGTATATTAATATTTTTTGACAGAAAGCGTCTCATGAGATATTCTTCAAAGGCAACAAAAGCTGCATCAATTCGGAAAAATTACACACATTCATAAGTAGCATCAAAACGTATTCTCCAGTGCCCAAAACACATAAGTCTCTTCTACACTACAGTTTAAAAGTTTCTTTGAAAGTGTAATATGCTGAAGCAAATTGTTTTTATATACCACACAGGGTTTAGTTGTCAGACTTGGAGGTGTCTGTTCTGGATTAACAAAGGACAATGAAGCCTTCAAAAAGACTCAAAATAATTTATTAATGATTCAATGAAGACAAAAATATAGTTAAATGAAAAAACAAAATAGATTTCAAAGCTGCTATAGGTGTTGATTTTGTCCATGGAAAAAAGCAATATGGTCATGCTATAGCATTATATTATAGCCCTTTTCAAAATTTTTAGGTAGAATCAACTTGTACAATTCAGGGCTTACATCCCTATTAATCATCATCAATTCCTGCCAACTTCCAGCCTTTACGCCACCCCCTTGTTCTCCAGGCAGCCCATTTCTCTCTTCCATCCCTTCACCCTATCAGTATTTACTCATTCATTTACTCTCGGTACAAATTCATGCGTGTACCTTTCAAATTCATTTTGGCACTTCACTCATACAGCCATTGCTCCCTCCACTTTACCTAACACTACACATTAGGTAACAGAGCCAGAGAGCAAACAGTGGTAGGTATGTGAATATATACAGGAATTCAGTGAGCAGAAGCAGGGTCTCTGTGTGCATATAAGGGCATACAAAGACCCGAAGTGTACATACACGTCCAGTTTGAGAGCCATCACCATCTAAGATCAAGAAGTGGAAATCATATTTGTTTATATATATATGCACAATTTTAACAAGAAAATCTGACAAAGAAATAAACAGCGTATACAGGGGGTATTGCAGGAAGGCTTCTTTTGACTAAACCAAAAGTTGAACGGAATTGGTTAAACCACATTAAAACTCAGTGTGGACAGACATGCAGCATTAAAAGCGTATTAATTCAGTTTAGCCAAAGAGGGATCAAGATTACTTTAAATACAGATGAGAGCAGTTCACAATGTATAATGCAGCTTAAACACAAATATGGATTGAATTCACATCTGCAGTTGTTTGAAATGGATGCAAGTCCTCTACAAACCTCTCCGTAACTCCCTCTTAGAAAACAGTGGTTTTATTTACCTTGCTGCCATTTGCAACATTTAGTTGCAATTCACTTTTCTTCTGCACACCTTATGGTCACCCCTGTTTGCAAGATGACATCCAGGTATATTCACAGACAGGTGCCACCATAAAATACATACAGCCAGGGTATCCAGGGAAAAATAAACACAAAGAACTAAAAATTGTGGTTTTGAATGCCAAAAGTATCCATTCACTAGAACCCACAATGAAACTCAGCATTTAATTAATCTGCAGAGATTAGAACAGCTCTGATGAATGCTATTAGTCTGAATCTGCTGCTTTTACAGAGAAGAGATGTTTGCAATTACTTGAAGACTGACACCTTTGTAAACAAAAGGGAAAGAGGATAATTGTGGAAAGACTTAATTTGGAAGGATTTGTGTGTCAGATGTGCTCAAGCCTTGTATTTCATAATAAAGTTCAACTTAAGTATCTCTGAAAAATTTAGGAAACAATTGAACAAAACATATTTTCTGGAACTATTTACACACGCAAGAAGTTGTAATGCTTTCTGCATGAGTATAAAAATGGTTATGATTAGTTACAGAAATCAATGTAAATATGCAAGCAACCACTAAGTACTATATTACATATGGAGACTTGCCAACAAGCCCACACTTACACTAGCTGGCTGACGGCAGCCATAAATCCTTATTACCTGCAAAGCTGTATTTGGCATCTGAAAGGATGAAAATTACTTTTCTCTAAGGAATTACAATTATATGATTATTCTTTGACAGCTGCTACTCCCTGTACACTAAACATAAAAAGCTAAATTTATTCAGTCTTTACTATCATGGTTAAAAGGAGAGACTGCTGTATTTATTCTACAGTTGATTCATAACTCCTTCATGATGATCTCATACTCTTTTCACAAATTTTTACCTCCAGAATATAGTTCCATCCCTTTTCATTGAAGACATCATCTTGAAAATGCTCCCTATATACTTCTTTGGCTTCCTTGATTTTCTCTTTGGTCACCACTTTACCTGTGGTTTCAGAAACAGATGAAAGCTTAGAAACTTACAATATTCATCAGTTTATAAAATAAATAACAAAAAGGTTCAGACACAGAAAAGTCACTTTGCCTCCAACAAAGACATGGAAGTCATGTCAAATGCAGTATACTAGCTATGTTAAAACCAAATTTTACTTTTGTTTATTATATAGATTAGGATGCTCAAGAAACCAACAGGATAAAATACACTTGTGGTTTGCAGGTGACTCAGGAACAATTTGAGATTATTACTCTTTTATGACAGTCAAAAACCTGTCAAGAGTTTTAGTAGCAGTGCTTTTCCCAGAGGAATGTGATGATTGTGCAAGTTGGCACATCCAACAAGACATAACCAGACTAGCACAAGGGTTAAGCTACGCTGCTGCAGGCAGAATCCCCGTGGAGAGGCCTTACAACCAGTCTTTGGTTGACCACCTTGCGATAGGAACTGACAGACTAACCACGTTATTTTAATAAGCATTGCTACTGCTGTAGGACCAATCATCTACTGGAAACGTTAGGGAACAATCCTCAGATTGCTAAAGAGAAAAGAAACAAGATTATCAAGTGTTTTGATTATAGTGGAATTCCAATCTTTGGCGGAATTGGCAGAGATATTTACGGATTCTGGATCAAGACAAAGATATGTAAGCCATATGACTTAAGTTTTCCTTCTAAAGCTTGGCAGAATGCAACTTGCATTCAGGTCAGAACAGGTGATATTTGCACATAATGCAAAAAAGCAAACAAAATCTTAAACGGCACCAAGGAGTTTTCAGATGTTACTCTTAAAATTGTCAATATTGAAAACACTTTCACACGCAGCTGCTATATTCAATGATCTAAGCTGAGTGGCAACCAAAATTTAAGGGAAATTAAAACCATTGTTAGTTTACACAGTAAGTAAACCAACAAATACAGACTAAAGTTTATGTTCAAAATGCAAAATGTATTTTCCCTTGAATCTTCTATCTTCTTGTGATTCTATGCACAGTCTCGCTCTACTTCCATTCATTTCAATTTAGCCCGTGAAGTTGGGATATGAACACCTCTTCATTTTTAATAAACCTCTGGCATAAATAAACATAGTAGAGAGGTGTCTGAATTAAGAAGTCAATACCATTTTATGAGGGTGGACATCTCATTTTCAGAATCACATAAATAAGACCTTATGCATGTCACTACCTACCCTGTACCAATATAACCTGGAATTGTTTCAACTATAATTTTTCTCAAGCCTGGAGTCTTAAGGTGTTTATTTACAGGTAAAGTTTTACTGGAATTTGAGACAGTTACCTTTTAAGTATTTATTCAGAATGTACTGCAAACCATAAAAAACAGTTTCTTCATATTTCACTTTCCTTAATTTGGAATTTTCCGTCTTCTTTTCACGACATTCAAAGTAGGAATATACTTTGCTTGTATTAGGTGGATATTGCTTGTAGTGTGTAACCTACATTAAGAAAAACTTCAGTAAGAGCTCAAAACATCACTACAAAGCACAAGAGAAATCATATTTGTACGTTAAAGCTTAGAGTAACTCCCAACTCTTCTGGACTATTATTATTTATCCATTCACGTTCTATGCAGTAAGTATTTAGGGGATTTCCCCTTTTTTAGCCGCCTTCAATTTTCAGTTCAACAGACTGTCTTCCCTATCTCATTCTTTGCTTCTGTGTCAAGCCTTTCCCCCTAGAGTAATCTTCATGGTCAGCTCTTCCACTACCCTGATGACTTTGCTTTGATTAACTGGGAGAGACACTGGCTAGGATTTTAGGAGCAGCACTGGGCACCAACATGCCGGCTCAGTTTTCACTCTCCCGCACTTTGGCCAAGCCTAATAGCTACAGGAAGCACAAAATTGCCTGCCACTACCAAAGTGGAGGTACCTGCTTGTATCTGATTGAAGTTTTGAAGGCTATAATCACGAAGTTCAAATAAAAGTCACCCATACTCAAGAAGGCATTGACAATGGCCTTTACCCAAGCATCTCATTCACCATGAGCAGAGTGGGTTTCTCAAGCCCTGGTTACATCAAAGCCAGCTTACAAACCCGTTATTGTCAGTAATGCTGTTAAAATCTACCTGAGGCTTGTACCTCCCCACAAAGTTTGCTAGATGGACTTTTTTCCAATCTTTGAAAAAGTGCACGTTCAGCATAAAGGAAGCATGAAAAGTTGCAGCCTGTAAGTGTGTATTATATGGAAACTGGTCCTATGAACACACAATGTTATGCTGAATTCAACCATTACAGCTTTTTTTAGCTACTGCTAGTAAATCTACCTAGAAATTTACTTTGAGTAATGTATCATTTGAGACAAGTACACTCTAAACATTAACAACTTAAACCTGCAAAATTTTATCTCCTAATGTGTAAAAAGCAAACTCCATGCAAAATCTAATTCCATATTAAACAAAAAGAATACACAATGACATAAATTTCATACTATCAATGTTTAAATTACAGGATACATAAATCAGCTTAAGGCATTCCCCAAAGGTGAAGCTATCAAAAGTTTTCTTAAATTATGACAAAAAGAAAAGTCTGTGAACAAGTCTATACATTCCATAAGGGAAAACGTTCCTACGGGCTGAGTAAAGCACCATCATACATCAGAACAAAAATCAAAAAGGTGTGAAATTCATGTCTTAATTTTTCTCAAAGCCCCAGATTTATAGGTTAGAGTATGAGTTCATTATAAGTTTCTTGCTGTTACTTCTTACTCCAAATCACCTTAAAAATTTTCGTTTCTAATATCAAAAGGAATTGGAAAAAGGATCATTTTACCACTTCTTCCTTATTGTCCTGGTTTTTGAAATGTACCTCTGACACTTTCAAAATAAAATATTTGAAGGTTTCCCTTACCTGTATTGCTAAAACTGTATATTAAAGGATTTTAAAAATACAGTTTTCTTTTTCCTCTCACATGCCATTTATATTTAGTATTTCACTCAGTTTGGACAATGAACTAGACCACTCAACTGAATTTTTCGGTTCTCCTATACCAGCACAACACTTATGGTTGTGTTTCCAATGCTGCAAGGAAACATTCAAATAACAAAAAGGTCAATTTTCAGATCTTTCCATTATCTTTACTTGTACGAAGTTTTCAAGGCCAATCAAATAAAACCCAAGCTTGTCATTGCAAGTTTTCTGTCTTTACTTCAAACAAAGCACTGCAACGCAGGCATTTAATGGAGCACAAACATATTCTGTTCCAATTCAACAGCCACTCAAAAGCAGAATGCTTAAGAGTAGCAATGTTAGACCCGAAGACAAAAACCTGGCTTTTCGATTTAGTTCTACCTATTAATAAATGTCTCACTCCACAAATTATAACATGTCCTTTCCTAGTTCTATGTAGAACTTCCAAAAAGTAAATCATGCTGCCAGCTCACAGAAAACTCTCTTCAGGATATCGTCATGTTTAAAGGAAAAAAAACACCCAAACCAAACACACACACGCACCCCCCGCCTAACCTCCCCACCCTTACTGTGGAGGAGTCAAAAATATGCTCTGTTTGACATGCTTTTCTAACTAAGGGGAATATGCACACACACACACACACAACCCCCTTACAAAAAATTGTATTAAATGGACTCCGAGAAAAAGAGCATGTAACAAATCATTATAAGGTTCATCCACTGTAAGGCACAGAGCATAGGAACTCCTTGCTTCACACTGTTGTTGCTTGAGTAAGTTACAGCAACTGTATGAAAAAATTTGCTCTTTTTTATGACTGGGACTGGACTTTAAGTTGGTGCTTCTTTATGATTTGATTGTATCACCTGGGAACTCTGTTTAACTTTATTGCCATTCTTCATCCTATTGGCATGCTACAGCTTCATGATTTCAGAGTAAACGCTCAACACAGAGCCCACCAGCTTCAAGTGTACATAGCAGACATCCCAGGAACAATTCCCCAAACCACTATCTGAATTCCTTGTGACAAGCTCTAGAGCAAACCAATGTAACACTGTTGTTCTCACCAAAACATTTCAAGCAAAACGAAGAACACTACATCTGCGTGAGACTGCCTACTCAGGTTTCTTTAAAGAAGTTCAATTATCCAACTTACAAACTATGGGCAGGTTGCTGAAGCCAACACCTATATTATAGTGAAAATTTGCGTGATCTTTGGCTACCATCTTTAACAAAATTTGTCTTTTGCAGTTCAAAGACATCTCCTCCAGCTAAACGCGTCTCTCTATCAAATGGGTTACAGTCCCAAATTAGCTCAAGGTGTACAGTGCACACACTGAGTTGGTGCCACCTTTTCCTATTGCATTTAAATACAGGGTTTTTTTAGGGACCTCCCATTCTAGCTCTGCTTTGAAGCATGATCACAAAACATGGTGCTCCAGCTGCAAATCAGAACTTGAGGGCTGAAATCAGGCTGGAATGCTAACAGCCAGATTTATCCCTTATGTAGCATACCTGGGGAAACAGCTCCTTCAAACTACCTTGCTGGCAGTTTCAACCTAAAAAAAACACACTCAAGTTCCTCAAACATTAAATCACAGGTTTAGCTAATTTTTCTGACATTAGATTAGATCTTAACCTGAAAATATATACCGGCAAGTGTCCAGAAAATAGTTATTTCTAGGGATTCAAATCTAAATAAAAATTTTTGTGTATGATAGAAATGTCATGTTATCAATTAAATTGCTTCAAGTACTTGAAAAAGATAACGAACTAATTTTACAACAGTTATATGTAAGATTCAATTATATTCTTCACACATTAGAATTTAAACAGTGAAACATACACATCCCTATGTGCTGGTTTTGGCTGGGATAGAGTTAGTTTTCTTCATAGTAGCTAGTATGGCGCTATGTTTTGGATTTGTGCTGAAAACAGTGTTGATAACACAGGGATGTTTTTGTTACTGCTGAGCAGTGCTTACACAGAGTCAAGGCCTTTTCTGCTTCTCACCCCACCCCACCAGTGAGTAGGCTGGGGATGCACAAGGAGTTGGGAGGGGACACAGCTGGGACAGCTGACCTGACTAATATCAAGAACAGATGAATCAATATTGTGACCCGCAACTGTTAACAGATATAAATTCCTTAATGTGCTCTGGTTAATCTGTTATTATCTCAAACCCTTC